AGTAAGCATGTTTTGGGAACACAGTGAAGAAACGGACTTAACTGCAGTGGCATGTGGACTTTAATAGTAATGAGATATATGTTTGCATTAGTAGAAAGGTGAGGCTAGATTTCAGAGGGCTCTATAAGTCTGGAAGGGGATTATAGATTTGATAATGTAAGTTGTTTGGATTCTTGAGGAGGCTAGGATGGAGGAGGCTTTCAGGGGGTCAATTTTTGCATAAGAGTGAAAATCAGGAGGAGTTAAAGCAGGGAGACTGGGTGGCTGTGTGCTGGGCCGTATAGTTGTCTGATCATGAAGTGGAGAGCTTATGGATTAGACAGGATAAACTGGCCTGGGATAAGAGGGGAAAGGACATTTTTGATGATCATATTTATAATTGATACTACATATAAAGGAAAATATGATATATTTATAGAGGAGTTTATGCTTTCTGAAGGATTTTTTGCAGCAATTGGCTCATTTTGATCTTCACTGTAACTGCTGTAGGTACCCTGGAGAGATAATATTCATTCTCACAGCTAAGCCTCAGCTCAGATATCACTGTTTTCCTAAAACTCCTGATTCTCTGGTCAAAAGGGATTACCCATACTCCTCCTTGGGTTTTCTTTTAAATTTATATGCAGTAAACTGCACAGATTACAAGTATATAGTTCAATGACAAATATGTTAACCTGAGCAAGTTATACCATCATAGAGAACAATAAAATCTCCCAGAATGTTCTTTTTTTGCCTCTTTCCTATGAGTCCCCTGTTTATTTCCTTCAGAAATTGTTGTTCTGAAGACAGGGATGCCCTCTCTCACCACTTCTGTTCAACATAGTTCTCGAAACACTGGCCAGAGCAATTAGACAGACGAAAGAAATTAAAGGCATCAAAATAGGAAAAGAAGAACTTAAATTATCGCTATTTGCAGATGACATGATTTTATACCTAGCAGACCCAAAAGGGTCTACAAAGAAACTATTAGAGCTAATAAATGAATTCAGCAAAGTGGCAGGATATAAAATCAACACACATAAATCAAAGGCATTCCTGTATATCAGCGACAAATCCTCTGAAATGGAAATGAGGACAACCACTCCATTCACAATATCTTCAAAAAAAATAAAATACTTGGGAATCAACCTAACAAAAGAGGTGAAAGACTTATACAATGAAAACTACAGAACCCTAAAGAGAGAAATAGAAGAAGATCTTAGAAGATGGAAAAATATACCCTGTTCATGGATAGGCAGAACTAACATCATCAAAATGGCGATATTACCAAAAGTTCTCTATAGGTTTAATGCAATGCCAATCAAAAT